GACACAAAGAATCAAGCCGGTATAGAAGCATTATGTCCAATATGCAAAGGGAGAAGATTGAGGGTGGCCGGCTTCAGAGCTCATGAATCAACGACGGCCTATCTATCGACTTGGAGACACAAGGTACTGGACTCCGATACATCGGCAGAACCTGGCTGTGTCCACGAACGCTATTGACAAGCCGCTGGCTAGGCTATCGGGAGTCTAGAGTAAGAAGTCAGAAATTTTGTCAGCCGAGAGCAGGAGCAGTCTTTCACTTTCGTTGGGCCAGCGATGGCTTAGCGTAATGTGTTGATGAGTCTTTGGGCCTGGGATGTCGAGTAACAGCGATACATTTTCGCGGAAGTCAATGAGCGGCTTCAGTCGACGCTTCGGAAGCTGTCCTTCTCTATTCCCACTCTCAATTCTTTTGCGAGACTCCTGACTCCGGACTCAATCGTTGAGATATGTTTTAGCAAGATCTGATGGTGCCTTGGGTCCGATCGAAAATTTCTGTATTGTGTACCGCTCACAAGGGATTCGGCGACTTCGAGCAATCAGTTGTACAACTTGAGCATATGGCATTTCCTTCACCCCGGCTGAGACCACGCTGTCTTACAAGTAGTTGTCACGTCGCTCCAAAGCTTGACATTCATGTGCAATCAGAATATTGGCGTGTGTGAACGTTTTCTTATCTCTGGAGGCATTGGCACTTCTTTCTCGCATCTTCTCTTCCAAGAAAACATAACAAAGGCGCATACGTTAGCTCGAAGTCATTCAAGCCCTTTGACTACATCACTCTTGCACTATTTCTCACCAACACATATCGACAATGTCGACCGCGTTGTACGTCTTCGAGTACAACGAGGGTCTCTCGTTAAGGATTTTGCCCAAGGATGCCCGCGCAAGGCAGACACTCGCAATCTGGAGCCTTTACAGCTTGCACGACATTTTCGTAATGTGACATGCTGGGCCGGATGAGTAGTCGCACATCAAAGGTGGTACAGGCGAATTGCTACATCCATAGGCATTCCTCGCGCGCTGGAAACCATCTGTTGGACTTTCTCTCACATCTGTTGTTGTTCAGAGCTGTGCGGAAGGAGATTGGCATCAGAGACGCATCACAAAGTTGCGAGTTTGTAGGACCAGCTTGTACGAAGGGTTTGCGATGTACGCAACCAGCAGCAATGTACGACGGTGATTGGGCAAGGCCATTTTGTTGTACTCTATCAATCGTTCTCCACGGTCCTCTATTTGTGGGCTCTGTGAAGGCATCAGTCGGTGTACTGAATCGATCGCTGTAGTACATCGGCCATTGTGGTGCCTCGAAGCACGCAATTGAATCTTGCGTTGCACAACGGTCTCACAGAATGGCTCTTTCGCTGAGTATATATACTCCTTCATTGCTCTATCTTCTTAACATTCTCTATCATCAACAATCAAAGCTTCTTTGCAAGATCACCGAAAACGTCCAAGATGGTTCGAAAACACGGTTTCCCATTCATGGTCCGTCCAAACGACTCACCTCCTCCTCGTCGACGCTCAGGTCCACGAGAACCTCAACGAGAACGTTCACGGGATAGACGTGATCGAGATCGTGATAGGAATGTAAGAAATCCATGTCCTGCATTCTTTGAGATCTTACAAATGCTCTCTTCATGCATGTACCCTCATGTCAACATACACTTACTGCATGTAGCGACCACCACCACCACCACCCCCACCACGTCAAAGGTCTCGTCCACGCCATCGTTCTCCCGAAACTTTTCACCGCACTCGGCACGAATCCAACCCTATGCACATAGGCGTAGGTGCATTTCAAAGGTCTCCGACCAGAGACACTCAGAGGCGCAGATCAGGTCCAGCGCCTCGCGCACGTACCCCTCCACCTCACCGACCCCCTCCTCCACGACCTAGGCCTCCCCCAAACCGTCCTCCACCTCATGGAGGAGGGGGTGGTGGAGGTGGTAGACCACGCCCGGAGCACCGCCCTCGTCCTGGTCCTGGCAGCCAAGTTTCGAGAGGAAGGCAACCCGATCGTCCCAATCAACATGATAGAACCTACCATTGGTCGCCTGGCGGACCCGAAGCTTGGTATGGAGGAAGACGACGCCACTGATCTACGGACGTTGTCTTGCAAACTCGAATGTAGAGAAGCATGGCATAGGCGTCAATCACGGGATGGAGGATTAGAGGATAGGTGAAAAGACTGGGGAGTGTCGCCATATTGGCGTGGCGGCACACGTCATGTGCGATGAAGCATTCTCAAGGACCGATGAGATTCGCTCAGAGGAAAACAATCGTTTGAATGTAGCACCACAAAAGGTACTAGATGGGAACGTGTAATATTATTAGACTGTTCGGGCCCTTAGCCGAGATTCCCACATCCGATCATGCGTAGCTGCCAACACTGCCCCCTTCTTTTCAAGTCAAGCCACACATTGGGTGGGAAAAGCTGATGTGTTTAGGGCATATATGGAGCGACGAAACTGTCTACGGCGAGCGCTGTTTTGAACCCTCCGTGCTTGGAGTCGGACCCTAGTTGGCAAGGATTGCTTGGGGAATGGTGAGGGAAGAAGCACGAAATGAGGGACGAGGCAGAAGGGCCCTGGATTCAAGGATGATGCTGAGAGGAGTGGACGAAGAGAGAGAGCAGCCGATTAGCGACTGGATGTTCAACGCCGCCATGATTTCCTTCTCCAGGCTTGAGTTCTATTCTTCATTCGACCTGTCTGGTGCAGAAAAAGTGATATTCTAGTAAGTCGTGAGAATGCGAACAAATCCCATGGTCTCGGCGTGAAAGGCGACGTGATCATGACGAATCAGTATTGGCTAGAATCATGATTTTCAGAGGGCTAGGAAATACTGATGTACCAGCTAAGAAAAGGGAGCCTGGATAGCAGATTGCAGCGAGGTCAGGCTAGCCGCCGACTGTTGGGCTTTCGTAAAGGCGTCTTTCACTTCAGCAGCGCTTCAATGATAATGATTGATCTGGCTTTCCGACTTCCGATGGCTTGCTCATTTGGCCGCAAGCCGTGTGTTCGAAATGATGAACGATGGTGTGGCTGTGATCCCAACGCAGACTCTGGGAAAGAAATGATTTCGAACGATGGAGGTCGTCGTCGTCGCCCTTCATTCATCATCCGAACGCCCTTGAAATTTCCACTGACTAGCCGCTTCGTTACTTGATGTACGACCGGGTTGCTTCAGGCATGTTGACAAATCAAAGTACTGAAAGAGCCTCTTATGATAACGCGGGCTGGGAATATTTATCGACTTTCAGCAATGAATTTGGGGGCCATCCACTCGAAAACCGACCAATGGAAGTTACGAATGTAGTTAGTGTCACACGTCCGTGATATAATAAGAGTTCGCCACGAGAAGGAGGCTCCGCTGTTAGCCTCACGCTTCCATCATGTTTGAGATTCAATCACTCCAAACGTGGGCGGCAGCGTATGTGTTGCTATGTCGGATCAAAGAATTCACATCTCTTCCAGGACTTACTTGATGAGTCCTGCGCCATCCTCGCTCACATGTGACAAAGATCATCATAATTCCCTCTACACAATCAAACCCATCATTTCTTTCCTACCCTTCGTCAAAAACTCGCCAACCACCTCCACTGACGTCGCACTTCTCAACAACAACAACAACTACCATCAAACAAGCCAGCCATGCGCTACTCCTACATCCTCACTCTCCTCATCCCCCTCACCCTGAGCAGCCCCCTCAAAAAAAAAGACGACACCCTCAACCCGGCCCTCGTCGCCGACATACATCGCCATCAACGTCGAATCCCTGCTGCAACTCCTCGGCGCCGACACCGCCACCGCCACAACCACCTCCGCCTCCGCCTCCGCCTACACCACCGTGCTAAGCAACTCCAACAACGCAGCCGGGTTGCAAAACATGCTCAACAGCGCCCCCCCGAGCCCCTGTGGATGCCCTGGTCGATAAGGATCATGATGCTGAGATTGCCGCGTTGGCTGAGGAGACGTTTAAGGCGTTGAAGGTTGCGCAGGCTGCTGGGAAGCAGGGGCTGGTGGGGGGGCCTGTTAGGGGGATTTGTGTGAGGAGGTGTAGGATGGGGAGATCGATTTGGCGGACGGTTGGGTGGGATTGAAGGTGGGTAGATGGATGGATTGGTAGGGGGAGTGTTTGTGCGGTTGTGGGTAATTGTACAGAGGCAAATGAAATGCTTTCGATACTGCGTTCTGTTCTTCAAGTCTTGCCCCTGCCGATTTCAAAGATGTCTCTGGCTTCGATGGTGTAGTATGCCTCCCATTGTCTTTCCCGCGTTCGTCGATGTCGTTGCAGCTTCTTTGCGTCTTTCTGATCGCAAGCTTCTCAGAGCCTGGAAATCGCGTTGTTGTCAGCGTGCTATCCTTAATTTGAGTATACACGTACGGTGAGCGAATCAGTCGTCTCCCCAACTTTGTATCAGATTCTCCCAATCCCAGACGAATCATTCGCTGCTTTCCATTTTCTGTCTCTCGCTCTGTAATCTGAAATCACGAGTCCCACCGAATTTCAGAGACTTCGCCAGGAAAGTCATCAAGAAATCCTATGAAGCCCCCCAACAAGCTGATTTCGCTCAAGAGCCTGCGACCGCTGGGTACATGATCTCCTAACGCCTAGATGTAGATGTAACGACAGATAGAGGGGGAATAGCTACTCGATTGTAGAGCAGCGGGGGTGGTAAGGGGCTGGTGCTGATGGGCGGAGTGGAAAGGTGAAGGAAAAAGGGGGAAGTAAACGGAAAGGGCGATGCCGACGCACATTTGATCGTTTTTGTTTGGAGCCACGAGGCGTGCTGGCAATTTGCTGCGACTAGTCTTGAGGGTAGTGAAGGAACTCTCTTGGGGAGTGAAAGGGCATGCAGTTAGCGATGGAATGCACAGTGATGGAGGGTTGAAAAAAGGAGGGAGCAGCGGGCATAGGAAGGCGGAGGGAAGGATGCGCTGCACGCGAGCTTCGAATGGAAGATATGATTTGATCTCTGGTCTGCCGATTCGTGCCACTCAAGATCTTGTGGCTCCATATCGGTCCAGCATCTCTTCCACGATCCGAATATTTTCCTGCCAATAAGCCTGCTTCTCTTCCTCCGTCAAGTCGTCCAGTAGCGGTTCAGGTTTCATGAAAAGCCCAAATTTGAACCAGTCCAAGAAAGTTTTTGTTGCTTCGCTCTCATTTCGTCGCTTCCACTCCGGAATAGTATCCCAAAAGGCTGCCCGAAGCTCATTGGCGCGATCCAGCTCGGGACCAAACTGGTTGGGGGCAGGCTTGCGAAAGAGAGTCTCGATGATTTGATCTTGAGCTGCATATGGCGCACTGGCAATGAACTCCCAATCAATGATGGCTCGTATTTCGGTGGAACTCCCAAGTATGATGTTATGGAGACCCATGTCCTCATGTATGGCCACGATCGGGATGTCTTCAACCACGGCCGGAATATCATACTCATAACGGTCAATAAAATTTTCGATACGCGCTAAATACCGATTCTTGAATTCATCAATGCCTTGCTGTTTTATGAGAGTGGACAATGAATATCTGATCCAAGCTCGAAGATATGCACGGACAGTTGTGAATGGGCCACCCAGACTGTAATGTCTGTCAGGTCCGATTACGAGGCCGTTGCTTTCGTCCCCAAGGAGCTCACCGATCAAAGGGGGATGAGGCAGCCTGATTTGCTCCCAGCAAGCCTGGAATGCGAGGGCTGCTCTCTTTACGAACGCAAGTCTTTGCTCATGCGACAGTTGCGAATAATAGACTGAATCTGCCATCTCGCCTGGTATCAATTGAGTCACTTGCTTCCCCATTCCTGTCATCTCTTGCCGTTCCATCTCTCCCGGGATTGGATAGACAGTAGGAACAGGGAGAATTCCGGGATCAATAGTCCTTGAGATCAAAGCCATGAGAAAATCCATGGAAGCCACTTTTCCATGGTGGCGCAACTGTACCACGTATTCTTCTGGATGATTCTGGACGTTGACTCTATATGAGGTGCTTAATGATCCATCGGTGAATCTGGATGAAGAGCTTGTGTGTCGCTTTGTTGCTGCCAGAATAACTTCCTTGAGTTCCGCTTCAGAGAGAGTAATAGGCTTAGGAGGGGAGATTTCTTTCGTACGCCTATCAATCTTGACCAAATACCGATCAATAGGCATTGGGTCAGCGTCAAAGTCCTCCAAGGATATGGACCAAGTAAAGGCTGTAGAAATGGTATTGAGGAGGGCGTAGTTCACGCCCTTGCCATCGACTGGGCCGATGGCCCCGGAGAAGGCATAGGCTAGAATCGCCGCCGCAGCGTCATCTTGCGTCATCAAGGTGGAGGTCATTGTATGGAATGAATTATGACGCGGAAGAACGAGTGCGCAACAGAGACTTAGGAGGTCCTTGAAGTGAGAGTTCACACAGGCGAAAGTGATAAGAAAGGAATGATGGAGAAGTTTTGAAGGAGGGATGGAGTGGTCCGTGGTATCGATAAAGATTATCGATAGGAGCAGCCACTCAGCGTAGAACGCCCCGATGCCGTGGCTGGCTCGCGCTTTCAAGGTCTCCTCGGACAGCCAAGGCGCTGATTTGGCGGGCAAGCGTCCGAAGAGACCTTGAAAGCGCGAGGCTGGTTCGTAAACCTGTTTTAGGAAGGTTTAGCCGAGAGCCTCGAGGCAATTTTCACCCGCAGCGTGCGAGCGTAGTATTTTATTAGCGTACATGATTACTAAGTCTTTTACCGCTATAATGGCTCTTGATCGCACAAAATTCGCAGGCAATGTCGATTTCTTCACTCGAACTATGGAGTACTACTCGTATCATTTCCACCTGATCATATTGCTACCCTCTGCAGGAAAAGGCCGAAGCTGTTCGCTCTCGTACGATATCAGGCTGTGACGTCTACCCCACTGTTTACGGCCCAAAAGTTCTCTGACTGAGAAGTAGCCCACATAGCATTGGTATATGGGAGCGGGACTTCCTTCGGATTAAAAGCATCGATACCATTCTTCGTCGTACTATGATAATGCGCGACTGACCCTCCTTTAGTTCGTCTCGTCTTGGTGACATGGCCGTCCGTGCATTCTGGAAAGCCAGCATTCGATTCCGTCTTCGCATTTAAGTCCCAGCCAGACTCCAGGACCCCGCTGCCGGGCTGAAGGTCAATTGCGCTTGTTGGCACTCGAAAAAGCACTCGCATGTCAGGCACGACGTATTCTCCTCCATTGATACAATCTTTGTCTTTCAGGGAAACGAGGTCCGCGATCCCAGCGGCGTGGACATGGGCGGTGAATGCACGCGCGAAAGTACTCCATGCTTCAGCGGAGATGCTTTGGAATTCTCGCTTGTGTGAGTCGACAGAACCGCCGAGGCCGTATTCGTAAGCCACGAGGCCCTCGCCAGAGGGGCAGGCCATCCACAGTAGTGGAACCAGAGAAGATTTGACCGGCTCTGCGCAATCCATTGCTTTAGCGATGTCGATGGTCACTGCAGCGACGTCGCTAGCCTTGGGAATGGTGAGCGTTTTATGCACCATGGCTTCTCCCTCCTGAAGTCTGAAGTGTCGATGCAAGAGGTGAAGCTCAACGAAATCAGCGACTCCGTGTGAGATGAGCGTTTGCGATAAGGCTGGGAGGTGATTGCGCTTCAAGTCGAGGAGCGCTGCACGCTCTGTTGCCTCATGATCTATCACCAGACGGTTGTAGTCTTCAGCGGAGATAACTGAGTCGACAAACAGATGAGACATGATCAGACCTTGGCGTTGATTCAACGGACAGGTAGCTTGAGGCTCGGTAAAAGACTTAGTGGAAGCTCAATGCAAAGGGACTTTCCAGCGTAGAGTCTCTGAACATTGGGGAGATGGAGCGACGAGCTCTTAAGAGCTCGGAAGCCGTCAGTGTCTCGTGCTGTTCATTCGCATGTGATCGAAATTCACTTTCTCGAGGATCTACATGCAACGAAAAGATTTGGCTGCTATGAAAAGCTGCATGCTCAAAAATGATTGATGCTGCTAAAAGAGGTGCATGCTTCAAAGAGAAAATATGCAACGAAAATGATCGAATGTTCTCATTCGCTTGGCTACTTGCCCTGCTTCTCCCCATCTACCTTGCCACCTCGATACATCGGCGATCTACCCTCCTCTGGGCTGCGGCTTCTGGACCGAGGCTCGTACCATTCTCACTCAACGAGGCTGAGAGAACTTTGATCGGTATGGAACGCATTGGGTCTTGACTCAGCCGTTGGTCCGGACACTCAATAGATTACATCGGTGTGCTCTAATCCGCGAATTCTTGAAGTCGTTACACATCTAGCTAATCAAGGTCTCGTGTAGCTTTCGATTCGCGAAGCCCCCGAGCCTCTGCGCGAAGAGAGTGCTATAATCATTGCTACAACGAGTCACCTGATTATTGTGTCCCACCGCAGATTATGCAGCAGCAGCTAGGATGTCATCAACAGAGACGCATTGTTACCAAAAAGCTGCGCAAGTTTGAGAGAGCGGGGTAATTCTCATCAATCTTGAGGGCTAGTACATGCTTGCAAATTTTGTGCAAAGACAACCGAGCGGGGAAACCAAGTGCTTTCTCCTGCACTGATGTTGGTCATCCACTTCAAGGAATTTTGCCGTGATCCATGCCGACTGTGGAATTCATTAAAATGCTCGGAGCAGTGATTCGCAACAAGCCCAGCCTCGCTCCGTAGTTGGACGTCGAATTCCTTGCGGATCTGGAGGACCCGGCAATCAACATGAAGAAAACCTATCCATTATGGTGAAAGTCGTTAAGAAATGATGCGCAAGCCGATGAATTCGCGAAGGCGGTCCTAGACAGATGCAGCGACGGCGAAGTCAAGAGAGCTTGGTTCGATGAAGAAGGGGGAGGATGATGGGGAGCCTTCACGTGAGAGCACAGGAATTAAAGGGGCTTATAGCGATCACAAAGTGGAAGCGATCGGCGAAATAACGACTTACTGATATTAGTAACCCGCCTGGCTCGTTGACTGAACTGATCGATGGCTTGCTTTGACCATAGCCTTGTTTACCAAACTTCGACATTTACTTGAGGAGTACAAGACATATGTAACGAGCAACACAACTCTTGCAGTAGACTGGTTTAGTCCTATTACTTCCTCAATCCCTTGCTTTGTCCTTTCTGACATGACTACAAGATCTTTCTACCAAATTTTCGATTGATCGCCGATGGTCTCCTCAAATACTCTCGGCGCTCACCTTACTTTTCAAGATCTCCACAGCAAGCTTCTCGGCCAATGCATCTACCATGATCTTCAGCACACCAACCCCTGTATGCACAATGCGTGGTATTTGACTCACAAACGGTACCTTGCGTATGCCCTGGCGGCAAAAATGGAAAGATCGAGGCATCAACGATGCGTAGCTTCTCCACTCCTTTCACAAGGCCTTTGGTGTTGACTACAGCACTGCTATCTTCGGCTTTACCCATCTTGCCTGTACGCGTTCAAGCTCAGTATTCTTTCGACCTCAATCCAATACGCAGCGCAAGGAAAGATCGATACGTACAGGTGCCGACAGCATGATGAAACGTCGTCATGGTCTTCTTGATATATGCAAGGATATCCGCATCGGTCTTCACAGCTGGACCAGGTGCGTATTCATCTCCCATCACCACACCAGTTGCCTGACCAATCTCCCTTGCCCTCTTGAGGGTCTGCACCGCCACTTGTTGGTCTGTCTCCGTTGACAGCCATTTCGGATCTTTGATGGGATTCTTGCTGAGGTCGGTAGTATTAATAGTGACAGTGCCAACAGAAGTCGTGGAGCTGATAGCAACTTGTATAGATGCATATTGCGCTTGATCTGTGACAGGTATTGTTATGGCAGCCGATGGTACAACCTCGATTTCTGGCCAGTGGGAAGGGAATTGGGCAAGCTCAGTGCGAGCACTCTTGGTGAAGTTGACTCGATAGCTTTCTGGTAATTTCTCCCAACCTGAGCAGATCAGCATTGAGACAACAAGAGATTCGCAGGGATTTATCTATCCAGTTGTTCGAACCGCTACTGAGTCGACCACTTTGGCGTGTGAGATAATCGTTGGCAGCTTTCGCTGCAGCACTTTGGTTCGTCGTAAGCTCCGAGTTCGTCGTCACGTTGACTCGATATGAAACACTAAAGAATGGCTGATCCTGTCGGGAGGGTTTAATTTAAAAAGAATTTTCGTCATGGGACGTACGAGGCGTACATGCAAATTCTGCCCTACACCTGGCAAGTCGGTCCGCAGAGGTACACCGAGCTTTTCTAGCGTCGCTGCTGAACCGATACCGCTGGCTAACAGAAGTTGCGGAGTACGAAACTACAAAGAGCTAGTTGGTGAGTCAAATGAGGAGGGGTTCATCGAAGGACTCACGACACCGGCAGCAAGGATGACTTCCCTTCTCGCGGAGAGCGAGTAGGTTTTGCCGAACGTGTCCAGAAGGACGCTTGTGGCAGTCGTCGTGTTATTAAAAACCAGCGACTTTGCAAGCGATCTCTGATGCACCAGCAAATTCGGCCTGTCCAATGTGTCCTGCAAGAAGGAGGTCTCCGACGAGCTCCGCGTTGCAGCTTCTGGATCGATGCTCAGTGTGAATTCCGAGAAGCCAATCAGCTGGCCGCTATTGAAGCCGGGTATGCTCTTGAAGCCCAGCATTGAGAAAGCTTGTTTCATATAGCGAGAAAATGGCTGGTAGAAGTTTGCTTAAGAAACTTGTAAAGGGCCTCCGGATGGACTGAAGGCTTTCTCGTCATAGTCTACCTGACTGTCTGCGCCCCTTTTGGCGATGTCTGGAGGTGTAAAGTGTGGACTTTTCTGGAAGAATTGCCAAAGATTGTCAAATGTAAAGCTTTGATCTCCAACTTGATCGGCCCAGGCTTGGTAGGAGCCCTTCGAGCCCCTGAGGTGCGTGAGTCTCCTTCAATATCGAACATCATCCTTTGACTTACCTGTGGTACGCAAGCACATTTCGAGCAGAGCTGCGCTATTGCGTTAATTTTCGTTAAATTATCTTCAGCCACGCTTCTTACGTACCTGCCGCCTAAACACTTGCCTTGAGCATAGAAGATTGATCGTGCGCCAAGTCGCTATTGCAAAACGCAACGAAGTAAGTCTCTCGATCCTGTAATATGACTTTGAGTGCGGGAAAGTGGGTTGTACCTCCTGTGGTGTGCTCACGATGCCCTAGTCTATCGCCGGTTGGATCTGGGATGGGTCAGAGCCCCCATTTCGGCCTGCATATGCGGGAAAGAAACATTGCCATTGTCGAGCTCATAGAAGCCACCAGCCTCTATGACGGCAACAGATAGATTTGGGTCCTCCGTCAATCGTGCAGCAACTATAAGCCCGCTTGTTCCACCCCCAACAATCTAGAAGATGCCTGTCAGTCAGCCACTCCACAACTTGTTCCACAGGAGATTCTTTACAACATAGTCAAAGGTCCCATTGATTCCGGGCACGCCAAAGGAGCTTCCTAATAAGCGCGTTCGGCCATCGGTTTTGGTATAGCCCGGGATTGCAGCATCGACGGTGGCAAAGTCCTGTGCAAAGAGGATCAATGTCAATAGTAGCGAGCGCCGCATCATGTCAGCACCCATTGAGAGAGAGCTGGAGATGTTAATGAACAACCACGGTGACCCGGCTTTGATGAATACCGTCAGGGAAATCGGGCAAATGATCCCTCACGACATCAAAGATCATGCCCGGATCTTGTAGCGGCTCTCAAGGCCGCCCACTAAGTCAGCCTTGACTCTTCGTTCTAGCTTGATAAGGCAGGTGGCAGTCCGTTTAACGCCCTCATCATCCTTCTTCATCGCCCCCGCCTTCTCAGGCATCCTTCCCAACCTCTTCGGCTACCTGCATATTTTTAAGCGGTGCCATGGCACCTTTAATTTATCATCTCACCCTAATCTTATAACATGGATGATGTGAAGCAGAGCTTAGCGCGGCCGAGACTAGATTTGGCTGGAGTCTTGCTTACGCGACCGGAGGCGGAGGGAGGTGCGTACTTGTTTGGCGAAGCTGCTGTTGGAGAGGTTGTCGTTTCCATTCAGCTTTCAAATCCCCAATGCCTGCAAATATCAGGCCTCCCACTAAAAGTTACCTAATATGTTGGGGCAAAACTAAACTTTTCATCTGCCACTCGTGCCAAAACAAAAATTCCTCTAGCACTTCTGGCGGCAGTCGTGAGTGACGCTGTCGCTTGAACCTTGAGAACGACGTCCGGCATTTCTGACTTCTGTAAAACAACAGTCGAAGTTGTAAGGCTGGCGCAGCCTTCGCAATGCTCTGATCAGCTCAGTCTTTCAGAATCAATGCCTCTCTCGTGTTGGCGGCTTAGTATATTTATATTTCCGAGCTCGCTACTGTCAATTTCATCGTGACCAGACCAGGACTCTGGTGTTGAATTGTGATCCAGTAATCGCGAGAAACTTACAATCTGACCTTTGGATGTAAGAGAATCGCAGGTCTTGTTGCGCTACTTCTCGCAACTATATGCACAGTACGCTCCATACCTAGCAGCTACTTGCCTTCGAAGTTCGATGTCATGCTAGACGCGCTCATTGTTTTGTGACAGCTGTTTGTACAACCTGCATTTGAAGCCTCTTACAGCCTTTTTGCGAGATCCGTTTTAGCGTGGGCAGGATATTATTAATTCCTTGGCATGAAAAATCTTCCACACACCCATACTATTTTGTATGGGCCTGTTGAACATTAATCACTAACAACTATTTTCATTGCTTTTGAAGCCGCAAAATCGCAATATACTCAGATTCTTGTTATAATACCTACTATAGCTTACAATATTAAGAACTCTAAGAAAGCGGCTACTACTACTTATTATTATTATCTTACTTTTCCTCCTTCTTCTCTTCCTTCTCCCTCTTCTTTTACTCTTCTTTAAGTTAATTATATTCCTTTAAAATCTAGTCTTTTTATTATAAATCTTAGTTTAATTATTTAATAATCTTATAGGAATTTCTTTTATAAAAATAATATTTATATAAATAAACTAGAAAAGATAGCTAATAAATATTATTAATATTAAGATTTATATATATATTAAATATTATTTTCTAAGTAATAATAACTTTAAAGAGTTAGAATTTAATAATATTAAAAGGGAGGAAAAATATAATAAATTATAAGATAATTAAAATTATAAATATTATTTATATATAATATTTAAGAACATAATAAATAAAGTTATAAAAGCTATTGTTTAATAAAATAAAATTAATATTTAAGATTTTATTATTAAAAACTATTTTAATATAGATTTTTAAAATAAAATTATAGAAGAGATATAAAAAAATAAAATAGAGAATAAGTTTAATATTATAATATTAATAAAGTATAATATTATTTAAACTATATAATAAAAAATTATAATTAAAAATTTATTAATAGAATTATAGTTTAAAAATATTAAGCTAATAATTAAAGACTAAACTATTTAATAAAATATTAATAAACTATTAATTATTAATATTATCTATATTAATTAAATTAGTTTAAATAATTTTATAAAAGTTATTATTAGTTAAGCTATTAGTTTTACTAATAATTCTTTAAAATTAATATATACTAATTAATTAAAAATATTATTAGCTAGTAGATAAAATATTAATAATAATACTATTTAATATAATATTATTATTATTAATAAATAAACTTATAAAAATAATTTATAGAAAGCTAATTTTAAGTACTTTTAAACTTTTTAAATTTATTGTAAATAATATATATAAAATAAAGTAATTATAAAATAAAAAGCTATTATTAATAAGGTTTTATAAAACTTTATTATTTATTTTATTAATAATAACTTAATTATTTAAAGATTAAAAATTATTTTAATTAATAATTATAAAATAATAATATTAAATTAAAATAATAAATAATATATTTAAATTAATATAAAAATAATAGCTAAATAACTAGTAATTTATATTAACTATTAAACTTAAATTACTTTATCTTTTTTTAAATCTATTATTATAATAAAACTATAATAAAAGTATTTTTATATTATTAATATATATTAAAAGTATTAATAATATAGATTTATATAAAACTATATTAAATCTTTATAAAATAATATAAATTTAATTCTAGAATAGTATTATAACCCTAGTATTTAAACTAGTAAATAGTATTAGTTAATTTAATTATAAAGTATATAAATTAGTTCTTCTAAATATAAATAATAATTAAAAAATAAACAAAAGTAATTTAATAAAATAGAATTAAATTATAACTATTTTATATTTTATAATAAGAAATAAAAAACTTTATTTAACTTATTTAATAATATTTAACCTTTAATTATTTTAAGTTTATTTAATTTAAAAATTATTTAATACTTTTAATACTTAAGTATACTTAAGTATTTTAGCTATCTTTATCTTTTTTAGTTACTTTTTCTTTATAATATAATATAATTATAAATTTTATTTTATTATAATTATTTTATTATATTTATTATATAAAATATAATATTATTTCTTTTTTTAATATATTTATTTTTAATTATTAATTTTCTTTATTATATTATATAATTCTTTAATAATAATATTTAATATTATTATTATACTTTTAAAAAAAAGAAATATTATAATTATTATATTATTATATATTACTATAAAAACTATATTTCTTAAGGTTTAAAATATATAAAAACTAATTAATTTATTTATTATATTAAATATAATTAAAAATATAATCTTATTCTTTTTAAGAAAAAGATAAATAAATAATATAATATTCTTAATAACTTAGATAAGTAAGAGTTAGCTATACTTATTCTAAGTTATTAGATATTTATAAAATAAGATAATTTTATTTAAAAAAATTAAAATAATTAAAAGATTTTAATATAAAGAATATCTTAGAAATAAAAAAATTTATATAAAAAAGAATAAAAAGAATAATTAAATAATATTTATTTATTAATTTTAGCTCTTAAATTAGATTTAATAATTAATAATCTCTTTTTTTTTTAAATAATTTTAATATTCTTTTCTTTAATTAATTTAATAAAGAAATAAAAGCTTTATTTACTTTTAGTATTATTATTAATAAAAGTATTAAAGCTTCTTTATATAATTAAATAATAAATATTCTTTTAATTTTTATATATTTTCTTTTTTTAAATAGTCTTTCTATTTAATAAAGTATTAACTATATTATTTTTTAAATATTTCTTTAACTTTAAAAGTATTTTTTTTTAAAAATTTATATTTAAATAATATTAAAATAAGTTTAAAGTCTTTACTTTTTTTAAAGAATAATATATAAAATATTAAATATATTTTAATATTATCTTTTCTACTTTTAAATTTTAAATAAATTATTTTATAAATAATTTAATTTTTTATTTAGTCTTTTTATTCTAAGATTTTTTATATAAAGTTATATTTTATTTTATTTTTTTAATTAAAGTTTATTTATTCTATATTTATTTTCTTATTTTTTTATTTTAATTTATATTTTTTTAAATTTAAATATATATTTAATAGCTTTTTATAATATTAATTATTTTTTTAATATATTATTTATATTTAAGTTTTTTTATAATTTATATAAAATAATATTATTTTTATAATATTTAATATTAAATTATTTAATAAAAGCTTTATTTAATTATTATAATA